TAGATTGCAAACTATAAGCAGATGTATTTTGATGACCTTCTCTCTTCTGTCTGGTCTCCGTTTATAAAATGCATGTTAACAGATTAACTTCTTAGCGTTTCATCGGCACCTGTGAGAATATACGTGTGTTCGTTTCTGTTGAAATTGTGGGGAGAAATCTAAACAGTTCATTGCTCCATACTTGAAGAATCAGATTTGGCATTTGAAGGGAAGCACCTCTGCGGCGCCGTTCTTTCACTCCACCAACTGCAACCAGAGAAAGTCATGATAGATGGCCCGTGACCATATTAGCAGCCAAAAGAAGGTAAATTCACCTTTGCAGTTTGAGAAGGTAGTTCTTCCAGGTCACAACCGAGGATGCTAGATGAGTGTGGGACTTTTCACAGTTAGCTTTGCTCTGGTCTGGAAGAAAGATGCAGTTTTCAAAAGACATCCTGAGAGACTGTCATTCCTGTAATCAAAGTCTGCCTGTGCCTCCATCTGTGCAATGGAGAATGGCATGGGTTAGACACAACATTTGAAATTGTCCACCCATAAACAGAACCACTAATTTCCTTCATGAAAGCTTGGAGAGACAAAGTCAAGTTTTGTAACATTCTATACAATTATATATACTAATTACCATTATTTGAGGAACATAAATATGGTTTATCTCAGTTTACAGATGGGGAGAAAGGTAAGTGAAAGAGGAGCGCTATGCCCCAGGAAACGGGATGTGACAATGTGCAAAGGGAACAAGAAACGCCATCACCTTGGCTTCTGCTTTCACTTACGGTTCATGAGTCAGGGCTGCTTCTTTCTCTTCTCTGAGTGAATCTATATTCAAATATAGCAAGCGAACGTAAATGTCGATGCAACATACTTGGATATAGGATAAAGAAAATGTTTGAAGAAATCATTGCATGATGGTGGCAATACTCTGCAAGACACACTTTTTTTTTTCTCGGTCCAGGCTGAATCCACTGGATTCCTAGTTTGTTTAAGGGAGACGAAGCTCTCTTTCTTGCACTGTTTTTACCTCTTCTTATTACTCACTTTTACAGCATGTGGTCTTTGAAGTTTGAATCCCAACCTCTTTCTGGACAGGCACTAAGTAAAAAAGCAGTCTTTAGGGTTAGGCAGTGCAAGGTAAATTTTCAGCTCCATGAGCAGGAACTCAGTTATATGACTTGCACTGCCGTTAATAGGAGTCATGCTGGTAAATTCCTGTACACCACGTTGAACTTTTACTCATGAATGCAAAACTGGCACAGCTAATGAAACTTGGCTTTCAGGTAGCATGGTGAGTCAGGAGATGAGTCTGACAGACAGAAAGGACTGCAAAGTACCCAGCTGAAAGTCTGACTCTAACTTCTTGAACATATTTCCAGAAAATAATAGTGTGAATTAAAGCTGTTGTGTATTAGCTGTTCCTTCTGGTAGGGATCAGTCTTGCTCCAGTGCTATTCCACAGAAGCAAAGGTCATGCCTGAAGTGTAAATGTTCCTGTTATCATGTAGCGTTGGCAATTTACTGTTATTTTATTTTCCTAGGAACATAGGACAGGGTCATCAAGGCCAGTCCTCTGCTAACACGAGCTCCTATAATCCCTTTCACAAACTGATAAAGTTCTTTTATACAATTTTTGCCTCTGCTGCTTTCTCAAGGACGACCCCTCCGATGAGTGGGCATCACCTGCTGACTTCTAGCCTACATTACTCGCAAGCACTTTATACCCATTGGTTCTGGTGGTAAGGTGTCCATCACAATGGCAGCCTCTTCTCATTTGCAAACTCTTCCTCAGCCTTTACTTTGATAGGCTAAACATACCGAATCCTTTTTGTCTGTTTTATAAGATAAGCTTTCCATTGCCCTGGCTGCAGCTGTGTGTATCTCCTGTAATTTGAATTCATTTTTAATAAGTGAAATCAACATTTTGCACAATACTTCAAATGCCAGTATCCTGTTTAATTCGTAAAAATTCTCTCATACCCATCTTCGCAACAACCCACTGCTGTATTGCCTTTCTTACATTTTCATCACACCATGGTTCATAATTTTCTTGTAGCCAATTAATCCAGTTAATTCTTTCTTCTTTTCCATCATTTATTTCCATCATTTTCCTGATGTCCTGCAATAGAAGTTTTTGTCATTGGACCCCAAGTTTCATGATACATGATTAATTCTCTTTCCGGGACTCACATATCTAAAGTGATTCCTTTTTTTTTTTTTTTTTTTGATGCATGACGCTCTAAATACCTTCTGTTTCACCAGCAAATGGCATTTAATATTAATGAAAATATTAAATAAATCAGTTTCATGACTCAGTTCTGAAGGAACTCCTAACTTAAGTTCCCTCCATTCCATTCCAGTCTTTTATTTTTATATACTTTTTATTTTTCACTTCAGTTATAAAATATTCCCTAAGCTAAGTGCTGAGAAGATGAGCGGTGTAGTACTTGCCACGTGTAAGAGAAGAGAAAGTTCCCTGTCACATGAAATGACTCAGAGACTCTCCGCGTCCTTTCCCTGTGACATAGCCTTCCATTGTGGAAAAAGCTTGTTATATAAAATGGGCCTGCTCGTGCTATCAGCAAATCACCACATGTTTGTACTGAATATAGTTTGAACTGAGTATAGGTATATTTTCATTCACATGAATATCCCATTTCTTCTTTATCTGCTTATGGTCCCGACTGGTCACCTGAACTAAAGAGATGCCAGAGGTCTGGATTGCAATAGCCAGTCAACATCTAGAGAAAAACTTTGCATTTTCTAAGTTAAATAGAAGGGGGGAGGGAGAGCTTTTGCTGCTGCAGTTACTTGACTGTGAAGGAGCAGCTGCAAACTGATGAGTCTCATCAGGTTGCAATCTTGACTAACCCAGGGCAGATACCCCCTGCTAAGAGGATAAATACCCTTCCTTTGTCACGGTTCCTATGCCGTAAACAATAGATTATGTGGGTGAAGCAAGAGAACATAAATGTTAATCAAATCATTCCTCCAAATGAACAGAAGTAGCACCCGGAATATAAACATTTTAATTTTGGAAGGGAAGGTCTGCCTCTTGAGTGGTTAATTTTCTATGGACTTTGAAAAGCTGCTTACTAACATTTTCCGCATTGCATGCAACACCATTTTGAGCGTTGCAGTTAGGTATGTTTCCTGTCTTTTCCAAGCTAGGCAGTTACAAAGTCGAGGGAGTGTAGGAAAAATACAATCTTCATTAATATCACTTAGCAGAGGTCAAAACCATATGCTGCGTAATTGCCAAAGTATGTGATCACATTAGTTTTTGGTAGAGGAAGTGGAAAGAACTTTCCAACTGGAACTGACACCAGGAAACATCTTTGAAAATGTTTTTTATACGTTGGGATAATTACCTTTATAAATAAATCTATATCTCCGTACAGATGATGAAACTGAGTTTGGGCTTTTTTGTGTATTTATGTGTGTACAATTGAAGCAGAGAGAACGGGCTTTTATCCCCTTACTGCTTCCTTGTTTGCTGTACAAATACGAATTTCTGTGTGCAGCTGAGCAATACGCGTTTCAAAGTGAGCGTACAGCAAACTTTGGTGTAATGCCCAGTCTTCTTCCACCTTCGTATGGCTACAGCTATTGTTGCTCGACGAATCATAAATGCATCTCTGGGCTTTCAAGTCAGGCTGTACGTCTGGATCAGAGCATCCCTGTGCCCTCAGCGGAACGGCAGCAAAGCGAGCGGGGTTTAGCTCGTCGTTTCTCCTTTAGAAATAAAGTTCACAGAGATCCCGTGTGGGAAGGGGATGAGGACTCTGTAGCTCTCTACAAACACTAAGCATGAAAAGTTATGTTCTGTTAGAATTTGCTGTTTTGGTGTAGCAGATGCAGTCTGCGGCTAGTTGCGTAGGAATAAGTCTCATGTACCTCACTTAGGGAAGTTAACGGAGCCGTTCAGCAGCGTTTGAGGTGAAGGCAAAAGGATTTGGTGTTTAGGGTCCAAATCCCGGTAGTTCCGTGGCCTTTCCTGACTGTTGGAATTGCTTAATTTCCCCAGTTTTCTTTAGTTGTTAGAAGTGGGGATAACGATGCCCCACACCACAGCGATTAGGAGAAATTGAATAAGGGCGCAAGTATGAAGTTCAGTGTGATAATTCCAGTTTGGTGGCCTGCATTCACCAGGGTGGTTTGTGGGTCAGTGAGGAGGCGTTTCCTACCACCTGGGTGAATCAGAGATCAGGGTAAGCCTGAGCGTTTCTTGCCGGCTCTACAAAGGTTTCCCTCCATGCACCACCCACCATATCGGTCCGCAGCGCTGGATCGCGGCTGCTGAGCAAGCGAGCTCAGCTCCATCCCTTGGTCTTGTTTGCCAGCTCCCCAGGCCGTTGATCGCTCTTACCCCATTACTAGAAATGATGGGGTCTCAGCCGGCTGAGCCATTGGCAGCACATGTCCGTGCTCCCATCCCGTACCTAGGAGGCACTCGCAAGGGGCGCGCCCAGGCTTGGCCTCAGCTCCCTCCCGTCATCAGGGAACGTTTTGTTACAGCCTTTTTGGAGTCTGCAGTCACTGCTAGGGGCTTGGACAGAGTACCCTGTTCAGGGAAGCCTTTAGCCTAACTTGTGGTATTACATCCTTTTACATTTCCTTCTCTTTGGACAGAAACAAGTTACAATTCAAGTGAGTTCATTCGCTTGAGGTGGAGAGTCACAAAATGAGCAAAATTCATGAAGAGTTCACTGTGCAGAAGTAGGAAAACACGTATTTGAAGTGATTTGGGCCCAAGTGGTTCATCAGTGGAAATGAACCAGCAGTCGCTTCTGGCCATGTTGTGTAACACATTGGGTGTGAACACCCTTTAGAGTCATCCTTTTGATTTCTTCTTGCCTACCTTAGGTCAACTTAACTTAACGCTTTCGCGTTTGCACATCGTATTTTAGTACCCTTCCAGGGGTAAGAGGTATGTTGTGGAGCTGGCTGTAGCAGCATACAAATAACGTGTATATAGCATTATATGATGTGTCCTTTATTTCTTGAAGCCCAACATTGGGCGATTAGGAATTCCCCATGGACCTTCAGGGGAGAAGGTGGCTGTTGTAACCGTGGATGACTGTGACACGGCAGTGGCTGTGCGCTTCGGGAGTCTCATTGGCAACTACACGTGCGCTGCCCAAGGGACTCAGACTGGCTCAAAAAAGTAAGGATTTTCTGTATGTGTTTTCCACTCATTCTCTTATTTCAGGAGAGAATCAACAATATGTGGTTAACCTCCAGTCAGGTTAGGTTAGAAAAAGAGATTCCATTTACCAAGAACAAGTGGCAGTTTTTAATTTGGTAGATGAAATCTGGTAGAGGCAACTGCAAGAGTCAGCACAGTGGGAAGAATGCATTGATCTTCCCCTATACAGACGTGTGCCTAAATTACTTGTAAAATGCAAGAAAAAGACCTGAAAATCAGTGTAGATGGCTCCAAAAAAGTATCTACTTAGTATGAAAATGTAGAGAGAAGGGCAAATAAAATGTTAAACTTTACTAGGCAGATGACTGAGGAGCTTGTAACTGCCATCATTTAAGTTGATATCCTTATGTTAAAAGGACATAGAAATAAAGGAGGTACAGAAAAGTTCAGTGAAAATCAGTACCTAGGGAAGAAGAGTCTCCTCAGAGGAAAGACTGAAGAGTTTTAATACTATTTAGTTTAAAGAGGAGATGGATTGCAAGCAACATAGTAGAGAGATCAAATAATGACTGATGACAGAAAGGCCATTGAGATGCACACACTACTATAAAATCGCAAGGTGGTCATCATAAAAATTAGGGCTAATTCAAACTGACCAAATGTTATTAAGACTAAGATCTTCAGTGGGTTAAAAAAGGGTTGGACATTTTATAATAATGAGGTTGTTATATCAAAATCAAAATCAATGGCATCTCATCCCTTCTGGTACATAGTTTAAACTAACCCCTGGGAACAGGAATCAGAAGTGTCCCGCAGCTGCACATTGTCTCATAATTTTCATTTTCTTCCTCTGATATTGACCACTGTCAGAGATGGATCATTGGATTCCCATACGTGTACGACAACTCCTGAATTACAGGTTATGATGTTTTTGTAACGTCACTGAGATCGGTTGTTTTCCTGGAAAGCACTTTTATTACAAGCCCTGAAAAAGCTGATCTAGTAGTAAGGAGGTGTGTGGCAACATCAATAAATTAAAATCTCAAGTAAATCTCAGATGTACTTCTGGGAAACCGCAAGGTAAAAAGAGCAAGACAATCTATACCCCCAAAACTGTGACCATTTCTTTGTTTCTTTAGATCTTTGGACCTGACTGGCCCTCTTCTCCTTGGTGGTGTCCCGAACTTGCCTGAAGATTTCCCTGTGCACAACAGACAGTTTATAGGCTGTATGAGGAACCTCTCTATTGACAGCAAGCCAATTGACATGGCCAGTTTCATAGCCAACAACGGCACTCTCCCAGGTAGGAACTACTACATCTTCAGAAGTCGACAAGAAAAAGCGCTCTGCCATTTATAAGTGTGTATAACAGGGTTTAGGATTTCAAAGAGGTAGGCACAGTGAGAAACTCCAGGGGACCAAGGGCTCTGAAAGGGCCCTGGCATCTCCCATTGGCCCCCTTTGTGCGAGGTGCTAGCGGCAGGGGACTGGGGTACCACCAGGCACCGCGCTCCTGCCCCATCACAGCACGGCTGCACCCCAGCCGGCTGCGCACGCCTCGCTGGTTTGTGTAAGGTGTAATCAGCGCCTGTGCCAAGCACGCACACAATGGCCCGCGGCATGGTACACCGCTTATAGCATAAAGTGGCACTTCGGGACTTGTTAAGATCACCTGTGCTCCTGTGAGTTTCACCCAGGAATTTGCACAGGGAATTTAGCCTTAAATGAGCTTTTCTTCTTTTGTTAAAAAAAAAAAACCTGATAATGTCACTTTGCTCTGAGAACTGATGGGACTGGTTCATGAAAAAGAAAATGATCTTAATGACTTTTCATAAATAATGTTTATCCTTTAAATCAAATTCTGCAGTCCTTCGAATCTGAAACTTGTTTCATGAAGCAGCCAGTTGAAGTTTCTAGTCTGGTTTCTAGTGCCTGGATCCCTGATCATGATTAGCTCTGATGGACAAAATGTTCTCATCATCATAAAACTGACACTTTATGGAAGAATGGCAAATTCCTTCCTTCCACCCTGCTGAAGGTCTGCATAATACATAAATTGCAGCTCTTTTAGATTCATTGCATTGATCGTGGATGGAGAACGGAGCTGCAACACTAACTTCAAATTACTCTTTTGTCTTGAGACTTTTTTATTAACAATTATACCTCTCATATTAGTTAAACACAAGGTTTTACCTTATGAAAGTAACAGGAAGACCATGACAAAAGAAGCATTTTCTTCAGGATGGATTTTTTCCCCTCATTTGGAAGGGTGTTCCATATGTTTCAACACCGCAACTTAGAGTAGTGTTACACTAGTGTGTGATACTACATATTGGCTTTCCGCAGATAGTTTCTTGGTTATGTGACATTAACTTTTAAAGAGCAGCGGTGCTGAGTCACAACACTCGTGTGTATGGCTATCTCCCACTGTGGCCAGCTGTGGATGCCAAGGGAAGAGTATGAAAACAGGACAAGCATGCAATGATATTTCCTCCAAATTTTCTTAGTCTCCAAAGATTTACAGCCTAGTGACTGGATTTAATAGCCTTTGATAGATTTTTTTAAAATGAACTTTACGTTTGTGAAGTGCGTGGAAACTTTTACCATCTACTTTTTGCTTCATTGACTTCAAGGATATTAAAAAAACAAAAGCTATAATGGTTAAGTGTCTTGTCCTTGTCAAAAACTCAGATACAGTCATTCCGAGCCTTTTTTTTTTTTTGAAGCCATGCAATAGTCTAGGTTGTCGTGATGTGATGCAGCTGCTGTGCCCATCTACACAAGTGTCAAGTGGTTTCAGGTAACTATTTTGCTGACTTCCAGGCTGTGCCGCGCAGAAGAACTATTGTGAAACTAACTGGTGCCAGAATGGAGGCACGTGTGTGAATAAGTGGAATACTTACATCTGTGAGTGTCCCATACGGTACGGAGGGAAAAACTGTGATCAAGGTAGGATGCACAAACCTCTTCATGCATAGTCACGTGTGCACTTTTCATTAGTAATCACTGAGATGTATGCCAAGCTCTGATGCTTAGGGGATAGATCGTGGAAGATTGCAATTAAGACTAAAAGTCCCATATATATTTGAAATAATTGTGAGATCACCTATACAGTAAATATGACAGCTAACTTACTGTGATTAATAGTAACAGCTTTTACTGATTTACTTGCATTAGCAAAGTAGTTCCACAGAGCTTGGCAGTATTTAGTAATTTGTTTATAGTAAAAATGCCTGGTCCTAAGCCCCTTTAAAACAGTGGAAAGAATCCCGCTGACTTTATTGGGCTCTGACTCAAACCGGGGATGAATGTACAGTTTTAATCACCACTTTCTCAGCGAGAAGGCAGTCTCTGCTGAGTAAGAGCACTTTCAATTTTACTAGGTTTTTCTTTGATTGAACACAATGTGCTTATGTGTGTAAAACCTCATTAATGAAGGATGAGGAAGGAGCAGCAGGTGTGTTTTATAGGGAATAAAAGACTTGTAGCTAGTTCCTTTCCGAGGAAGCAAGGACGTGTCTGCATTGGGGGATCCATGGGTTCAGTGCTGCTGCAGCTCCTGGTGCCCGCTGTAAGGCAGCTTCACCACACCTGGCTGTGGGTTGCTGATTTGTAGTCACATTGCACTGGAGGCTTCCCAGAAGGACATCCTGCTTAAACGAGGCATAGCCTTCTGAGCAAATTCTGTCCTCACTTGCTCAGATACAAATGTGGCGTGTCTTCATTTCCGTTATCCCCCTGTGATGCTTAGCCCAGAATAGTTTGCAGTATGAGCAAGGATTTTGTTCTTTTGATATTTCTACCACAAATCAGACATTCTTGATTACCCTCAGCAGGATGTGGACCCTGAAAAGGCAGTCCTAATTGTGAGGTTTCCAAACCATGGTGCACACACCGCGGCTGGTATGCAAACCACTTCATCGTGGTATGCCTCTGCCGGGGCATGATGAAGTAGCGGCAATTGCTCTCACCTTGCCTTCACAGGAACAGCTTAACAAGAGAGAGGTACAGACAGAGCATGCAGTTAAGTTTCTGGTTTAGGAAATAATGGTCTGTGGTAGGAGGCTGGGGGAAAAAGGATGATGGAGGCCTCCCCGTGTCCTTCCTCTCACAAAGCCCAGAGCTGCTATTGCTGCTGCTAGCAAGGTACCTGCTTTCTGTAGCAGTTCCTCAAATATTCTGAGCTCTCCAGGTCTGTATGAAGATCTTATTTTTCCACGTGTCTCATGTCAAATATCTTTGTCAATGAAGTTCTAGCGTTTTCTTCATGAGTTGTGTAGCACCTCTCTGTTGGCCTCACTGGAACAAAGCCCATGCTGATGTTTCCTGAGAGGATGCGAGGCCTGACTCTGGTGTGTGAACTGTACTGGGATAAATGGGGAGTAGTGTTGTCATGTACAAAGAATATTATTCCCTCTGTCTTTCTCTTAGTTGAAACATGAATTTCAACATTCAGTCAAATGTCTTTTCTATTCATCTTTTTCTTATCTCAAACTAAATTCCAAAGCGTCAATTTAGGGGTTTGAAAAATCACTCCAGGAGTGTCCTTTAGGCACCATTTGATACTTAGTTTTGGTTAGAGCAATACAGTTCACAGCAATCACAGCATTATTGTCGCCCAGCTTCAGGGTTCCCCCGTACCCTAAGTGCAGTGAGACCTGAGTATTTCCCTTGTTATTTTCTAAATATTTATCCTTGCTAAGGTGTCAGTTTGTTAATATTTTAGAATTTGTGACCAGCAGTCCTCTTGTTTCTTTGATTATATTTGTGGGGCAAAACATCCCCAAGGAAAATTCACAAGCCAAATGAAAAAAAGGATTTTTTTCTGAAATGTGACCAAAGATTTCAGGAGCCTGAAGTTAAAGTCAGGAGGGATCACAGTACTCCTGGCATTCAGACTGTTTATTTGAGTGCTAAGGTATGTCCAATGATCCTAAGAGTATTAGCTATCATTAGGCAGCTATTTTTTAAAAAGTTATGGCTAAAATATTTGCAGTCTTGTGTAGGAGTGATTGGCTGATGCATATCTTAAACTGCTTTAGCAGTGCTGGATCTGCTTCAGTCTCACAGAGAGCAACGGCCTTGGTGGTTTAAGAAGCCAAATTTTTTTGATTGCCAGCTCTTCAGAAACTAGGGTTATTTTATGTTGCTCTTTTAAAGAGTACCTTCTGCAATAATGGTTCCCATCTTTGGGGACAGGGGGGTGGTTCTGGACATTACTGTGAAGTCAGTAATAACTAAATACCCTGTGCAGGCAACACCGCTGTCCCAGGCGTGGGGAAGGGCGGGCAGAGGGCAGCGGGGCGATTTCGGCTTTCCCAGCAGCCTAAGGCCCACCCTGGCCCCCAGGGAGGGAGGCAGCCGGGAGGGGCGTTATTTGTGAGCCCGAGGAAAAGGGGGGGAACGGTGAGACGCGGAAGAGGGGTGGCCGATTGCCTTGCTCGTCCAGTTGTCCCGGGAGCCCGGCTGAAATAGCGGCACCCAGCATTCCCGCCCCGGCAGGCGGGAAGCCCGCAGGTCTGCCCCTCGGCTCTGCTCTCCGCCGACAGGCACACTGGAAAAACTCAGCAACGGGCCTAGAAACCACTGGCAGAGCAGCTGGGAGCTGAGGCTCTTTTGGCAAGGTAGAGGAGGGAGGAGAGAGCTGCCTCCTGCACGCCCGGAGCAGGAGGAAGAAATGGTTGCGCTCAACTTGTAGGTCCGCAGGACGCAGAGCGGGGTGAGGAGCTGTGCCCGCCGGCCCGGAGAGCCAGGGCTCAGGCACTGGACTCGCACTTTAAGCTGAAGGCATCTCTGTTGGGAGGCAAAACCATTTAAAATTGCTGTCTGGATTTCAAGAGCAGGCTCAGCTCCAGGCTAGGGTTCGCGAGGCTGCGCGTGGACGGGGGCTGGAGGGCTGAGTACGACCCGCGCGGAGGGGAGACGCACAGGGAGCCTCAAAGCAGGCGGGGAGGGGGCCGCCCCTTCGGGGTGCGGCTTGGCTAGCGGTAATTCACTGGTCGCTGCTACTTTGCTTCTCACAGATAGGGAGATAAAGGGCTTGGCGCCAACACGGTCCTCCTGCCCTCTGTGCTCCTTCACACACCCCTTTCTCCCTTTTAGCAAAGCAGATGTAGCACAGTTTGGTGTTTTTTCTTTTTCTCCCAAAAATGCCATTTCACATCAACCTGACTTCATGTTCAGCAATGATGTCGTCACTCTGCTTTTTCTAAGGGCTTGTCATTTTAAAATAATACATTTACATTTGCATATATGTGATCTCTTCTACAAAACATCCAGAAGAGCTACCAGATATTTGCTGTAGAGTGGAAGGGGAAGGAGGCTGTCAAGCCTATCACCATCCGAACAGGCTTCGTGCATGACAAGGTGTAAAGCTGGGTGCAAACCTGGGGTGGTTATTCCTAGGACAGGGAATACCTCCCAGGACGGGGCAGAGGCGCGCGAGCCAGCCGGAGTGCTGGGAGTAGCACAGGGCTGATTTACGCTTCCTCTCAGTGGGATAAACTAATCCATGGTGCCATAGCCCATCGGCTTGCGTTACCTGGGATAGCTACGTGAACAGCCTGCAGGGTGGATGTATCCGTGCTTTCCATCAGTAAAGTGCTTTCCGATGACGCCTGTCGTCAGTGTCTCCCTGTAGGAGCTGTGTTTGGGCAAGATGAGAGATGAGGGCTACGCTTCAGCATTCAGCTCTAGATGTTTAAGGGAAGTGATCTGGGTAATTCCACAAGAGCTTTCTCCCTGTCAAAAGGCTGGGTAGCTCACACAGCTGAACAACCTGGCCCTGGGGTATTTGAAATTAATTAATATTCCCTGTTGACTCAGATGCATTTCCTCTGTTTAATCTGTTAATTAGAACCAGGTAATCAGGTTGAAAATGTCTGTAGCAAGTATTACCCTCATGCTTCCTGCTTTATCCACCCACTCATCATCAAAATTATATCAGTAGACATTTTGAATTTGGCTTTCTAGGAACATCTCTCGTTTGTGTAGTACAGTAGCACTGTGGAGATGTCACCTTAGAGTGTAGGTGGGTTCAGAGACAAGCTACCACAAACTGAGGTAGGTTGCGAATTTAAAGCATTAGCGGCTTCCTAGTAACTCCCCTGGGCCAGATCTTTCCCTGTAGTAAATGAAATACAGCTCAGAGGAAGAGGGAGTAGTTACCTTGCATCATGTCTTCAATATAGTGTTGTTCCTCCTCTTAACCTTTGTCTCGAAGGATATAAAGTGTTTCTCTCTTGTCTTTTGATTTACAGTAATGCCTTCTCCTCAGCGGTTTAGTGGGGAAAGCATTATCATTTGGAGTGACCTCGATATAACCATCTCTGTGCCATGGTACATTGGGCTTATGTTTAGGACCCGGAAAGTCAATGGCATGTTAATGCAAGCTAATGCTGGAACTGCATCCAAGATCAACATTCAGGTAAAACATGTGGCTTGCTTTCCTTGGAAAACTAGTTCTCTCTTCTCCCCCTCTCCGCATATCAGCGTGATCCGCGTGTCAGTGAATATGGCCACGCAAATTGCGTATCTGATTAGTCCACCCGGCAGAACGTTCATCAATACATACAAATGATTTCTGCAGAATTCGACTTTTGATCATTCTAACATTCAGGGGTTTTTCTGATGTGAATTGGATGTGATTTGATGTGAAGTGATTTTTTCAAACAAAGGTATGAGTGTATGTTACTATAAATGAGAAAAATGTATCTTTTTAATGTCTTTTTTTCCTCAGTGGGATAAGTTAGAAACAGAATGTCCAATGTCCACAGAAGTTATTGCAATTGTTTCATTCTTTTTTCCTTTGGAATTTGTTTAGGAAGCACTGTTATCTTGCCCCCTAAACAAATATGCAGCAAAAAATAGACATGATATTTTTTTCAACAGATACTGAACAACTATGTGCAGTTTGAAGTGTACAGTGGCCTGAACCAGGTTGCTAGTTTGAAGATGACCCAATCGCGAGTCAGTGACGGCGAATGGCATCATTTATTAGTAGAGCTAAAGAGTGCTAAAGATGGTAAAGACATCAAGTACCTAGCTGTCATGTCCTTGGACTATGGGATGTACCAGGTGAGGCAGCATCGTAATTTTGCCGTTAAATCACTACAGGAATATTTTCAGGAGAAAGTAGGTTAAAGGATTGTGGAAAAATACTTATTCTGTGAGCCATGTTCTGCCATGACTTGTGCCTAATGAAGTCTCATTATTTTATTAAGCCTAATGAAAAAATATCTTCTGAACAAGTCTGAAAAAGGTCACATTCAGATGTTTAGCTCCTCACTGCTTTGATCATTTTTCTTTAGTCTGCTATCAGCTACTGGTGACTCCATCACTGCAGAAAGTCACTGTCTGTGTCGCGGAGGATGATCGTGCCCCTTACGTACTGTCCTTTTCTTCAACAGAGCACTGTGCAGATTGGAAATCAACTGCCTGGACTAAAAATGAAAAGCATCATTGTGGGAGGTGTG